AAAAAACATCCTTCCGAAGCGGGCAACAGGATTTCAATTCCGATAGCCGACAGCTTCTTACGGACAAACCCCACACCAAAAATAGTGCCGACAGTTCCTTTGGTAATTCTGGTGGCGCCACATCTTTAAACTCTGCAAGTGCTTCCACTACTTCCTTTAGCTTGGCTTCTTCGGGCTTCGATTCTTCATCGGAGTCATGAAGGATAGCCAAGTAGCTCTCCTCCTCTCGTCGAATGCCCTTCTTGAATTGAATGGCTGACAGCATCCTGGTCTCATGTTGCCTAGCTCTTGTTGTTGGTACAAGGCAAGCTTGGTCGTCTCCCATGATACACATGCTATTGGCAAATGGTATCGGGAACGCCCTTACTTGGGCCAAGAAATCTATGCCAAGGATTACTTTAAAATCATCCATGAGAATGATAGAGAAGTTTAGCATACCTGACCAATCTCCTACACAGGCCTTCACTCCTTTAGCCACACTATGGATTGGCCTAGCTGCAGAGTTAACTGCCTTGATGGAGCCTCCACTTCCAGTTATTTGGAAACCCATCTTTCTTGCTTCTTCGATAGACATGAAGTTGTGAGAGGCTCTTGTGTCTATCATCGCATTAGTGGATGTCTTCCCTATAGTCACTTCTACAAAGAGAAGTCATTTTGTCAGAGTTTTTGGAGAAGAGCGTACGTCTGTATCATTTTCCTCTATCTCTTGATGACTTGCAAGGAGGGAGATCAAAGCTTTCTTCTGCGGGCAATCCCTTACCCAATGTGGTCCTCCACAAAGGAAGCAACTGTTGTATGGTTAGTTTTGTTCTTGTTGTTAAACTTCCTCTTGTCTCTTGCTTTGAATGAGGTTGATTCACGACGATTCTCTTCTTTGGGTTGCTCTCGGTCTCCCCCACTTCTGACATAGTTGTTCCTCTTATCTTTTGGCTTTGTAGACCCTTTTGTGTAGTCCACCAAGCTTTCCGCAATGGCTATGGCGGAAGCGAGATCTTGTGCACCACGCCTCCTCAGCTCTGTCTTTGCCCATTGTTGAAGTCCATCCATGAAGAGCATCCGTGTCTCACATATCAGGGATTTCAAGGACCAAACTAGTAAACTCCTTGATATATTCTCGAATCAATTCCACTTGTTGAATAGAGCCTCATCCTCTGCATTCTCGGGGTAGAATTGCCTCTTTAACTCTTTCTTAAAGTCATCAAAAGTTGAACATACCTTTTTCAACATCTCCTCGCCTTCTTCTCCACCATAGCATAGCAATATCTGAAAGATAAAGAGTAGCAAATTGAATTCTTGTCTTTTCATCTGTGATCCCCATTGCTCAAAAGTATTGCTCCAGACCCCATAAGAAGTTATCCACTTCTTTCGCATCACGAGCTCCACCAAAACTCTTTGGTTTTGGCACCTCAATCCTCTTAGATTTGAAGGTTTGATGGTTGGTGGGTGCTAATAGTGCCCTTTTGCACAACAAAATGTCCCCACGCATCTCCTTCAGGCTAGTACGCATGTCATTCATCTCTTCTTTGTGGGCACTTCGCACTTCTTGGAGCATCCCGATAAAGTCCTCCTGCAACTTAGTCATTTGACTCATTAAGGTCTCCTCAAGTTGGAGCATCAAACCTCTGATTGTTAAATGGATGGTGATGTCTTCCTCCTCGAGTCCATCAACCCTTTGGCCAAGGTCCTCTACTTGGCATTCCACGCCATTCATTGCCTCCTCCATCCGAGCAAGGCGCGAATCAAAGCTATGTATGATCTCCTTAAACCTCCCCTGTGGCTTAGGTGCAACGGGTCCCTTTGGACCGCGCCACTGAGATGACTCCACAATAGTGGCTTCCGACTCCATCCCGTGCTCCTTGATGCTTTTTGTCATTCCCTCGAACCAAAGTTTTGATACCAACTGTCACGGACTAACTTTTCTCGAGTTATCCGTGCGGCTTTAGCGCTATTTCTTAGCACTAAATCAGCCTAACATTCCCAACTAACAGCTCAAAAGCACTCTCTTGAAAGTAGAATGGAAAGAAGAGTTAAAGAAGATAAAGCTTCACTAATAAAGAGAGATTACAAAGCTTGAAAGCTTGAAACCTTGGATGCCTTAGAATGAGGGAGGGGACACTTATTTATAATAGCTTCCTCCATGGTCTTGGCCTTACATATTGCCAATGTGGGACTATTCTCTAAAGAAAGCTTTACAATATAATATTCTAGCTTCTAGATAGTTCTACACTATTTTAATGTACATACATATTCTAGATTCTTCTAGGTTGTTCTTTAGGCCTCCATCTTATAGAATACTCCTTCATGTCGTAACATTGGTGGGGCGTGACAAGTAGGTGGGATACTTAATTAGGAAGCTAATTAAATTCGGTGGACCGGATCTCCACATTACCCAACAATTCTCCCACTTTGACACTGAGACACTGAATGCATCACCTACTGGCTACATCATCTATTAATTGTACCGATCTTTTCCTCAAACATAATATCTTCCACCTCTGCAACTCGAGCCCCTGTCTTCATGCCAGAAGACAAGCTGAAGTTGAGCACAACTTCGACTTCTCACGAGTAACACCCTCAGTTGAAATATCATCGTCAACGTAGTCTTGCACCACCAAGCTATTTTCTGGGTTACTTTTGTATGTGCTTACAACTCCCACTGCAAGAGTAATATCTGCCCCCTGTTGAAATCCCTTTTTAACAAGTCCAGCATTGTACCTCTTACTGCCACCAAGTTTTTACTCGGTACACCCACTTGTTGTGCAATGTCTGTTGTGCAATGTCTTCTTCCTTGGTAGAAGTTATGTCAGCTCCCAAGTCTGATTCCCTGGTAGGGAATCCGTCTCCTCCTTCTTGGTCAGCTCCCACTTGCTCAAATTCTTATTTTGCAAGACCTCTTCATAACTCTGTGTTTCTTCCACCATTTGTCTGTACCAGGTCCGGTTTTTCTGCCTTTGGCGCTCTACCACTTTTTAGAAAATTGACATTCTTCTGCTTCCCCATAATGCACCTCTGACTCATGTGTCATCGCCTGAGTAAACGTGTAGTCATATATAGTGTGTTAGTTTTCTTACTCCAAGTCAGCACTAATGCTCCTTTGGTAACCTTCCAGGCGTTATCTGAGAACACTACCGAATGACCACCCTCATTGAGTTGCCCAACAAAGATGAGGTTTTTCTTCAACTCAGGAACGTGTCTGACCTTTTGCAAAGTCCATTTGCTCTTGTTAGGGAGTGAAATATCAACGTCTCTCATTCTCACCACGTCCAGAGTTTTTCCATCAGCCAGATATACATTCCCAAAGTTACTTGCAACATAAATTCGCATTAACTCCCGACGGGAAGATGTATGAAAGGAAGTCTCTGAATCCAGTATTCAGTCATCAACAAAACTGTAAACTGTCAGAAATAGTGCATCATGTATTTCTTCAGTTACAACATTAGCGTCATCATTCACATTTTTTTTAGGATTCTTACAGTTCCTTTTTATGTAGTCAGTCTTGCCACAATTCCAGCAGGTTTTCTGTTGATCCTGCTGACCTGACTTTGATTTTGATCTTCCACGGTTTGAGTTTATGTCTTTTGATCTCCATCTGGAATCAACAATCAGTGCCGATCGAACCCGAGGTCTCGACAGAATCTTTCTTGCGCACTTCCTCAGTCAAAATCAAATCACAAATATCATCATATTTCAGCTTAGATTTACCTGCAGAACTGCTAACTGTGATCCTTATAGCAAGCTATTTGACAATGCAGCCAACAATATCAACGCACATATCTCATCATCAAAATCAATTTCAACATATGACAATTGATTTGTGATAGTATTGAAATCATTTAGGTGTTGTGCAACAGACACATCTTCCGTCATCTTCAAGTTGAATAACTTCTTCATCAGATGCACTTTGTTATTCGCTGATGGCTTTTCATACATACCTGATAAAGCCGTCATGAGATCTGCAGTAGTCCTCTCCTTGATGACGCTGTGGGCAAGTGATCTCGATAGGGTTAATCGTATAACTCCCAGAACCTGTCAATCCAATAGATTCCATTCTGCCTCGTTCATCTTTTCTGGTCGTTTTCCCAGTAACGGAAGATGAAGTTTCTTCTCATAGAGTTAGTCCTCTATCTGCATCCTCTAGTAAGCAAAATCTGTGTCATTAAACTTCTCGATCTCCGATGTCATAACTCTGTCTCTACTCATCGTTCTTCCTTAGATTCGAACCAAAGTTTTGATACTAGTTGTTGTGAAAAACGACTACAATAAAGCGAAAAATAGAATGAGAAAAAATTGCACGCAGAAAAAATACCAGAGCGATACACAGATTTATGTGGTTCGGCAAATTTGTCTACGTCCACAGAGCTGCAGATGATTTATTTCTTCGAGGAATTACACCGTCGAGCACCTCGACGTTTACAAGAAAATCTATATTTTCTTCTCTTCATTCCTCTCACTCTTCCTCTCTTTCTCTTAGCTCTCAAGATGACTTGATTTGGCTTTGCTTGACTTAGCTTAACTTAGTTTTGCTTGGCTTTGCTTGACTTGATAGTATTCACTGAACTCCAATGTGATAGGTGAGCGGTAGGTAGGTATGGTAGGTGAGCGGTGGGTGTGATACTTAATTAGTAAACTACTTAAATTTGGTGGACCGGGTTTCCACATTACCCAACAGTGGTATAAATGTAAAAAGTGAAATTTAGGTGTTAGATATGTAAATACATTAGAATTGGGTTGTATGCATGCAAAAGCCCCAACAAAGAATAGGATGCATACCATTCGATATAGAAGGGCATGATGTCCTACTATAGATCGATTTCTTCTCAATTTTATCACTTTTTCCAGCAAACTTAACAGCCTCAGTAGACGATGAAGAAGAAGCTTGCTTTGATAAATGAATATCCCTTGAATCTGGGAAGCTACAACTCTCCCGAGCTTTTCTAGAGAACAAAGGTTCTTCCTGATTCAGATATGAAGATGATAAATTCTGCAAAGATGAAACTGTACCCATGGCTCTAATAAATCAAAAAAATACAAAAAGCTTTTCAACTACCTCTTTGACTGAATCATGATGTATAAAACCAGCTTGGGAAACTGAATCTCGAGGGGCATAAAGCAATCGATTATCAGACCTCCCAGCCATGGAGTTCAGTGTGCTGCTGCAATTCTGAGGCCACCAGAAGACAAAAGTAAGTGATAGACTTATATCCGAAGAACACAAGCTCGGCAAAGAAAACAATCAACTTGATTGGACAACATGAAACCTAGCGGCTAACTCATCAAAATGTCGGCGCAATTCGAACAAAAATTGCAAAATTTTAGTGGAATTTAAACAGGAAAGGAAATTTATAACAGAAACAGAGAATGAATTGTGCAAAGTGCAGCAATTATAAAATCAATAGAAATTCATCAATTTCATCTAGCGTTAGGGTTAACCATTGCTGACAGGTGAGAAGTCGGTGAGAGGATAGCTTCGTATGCCAACACATGATCGAGGATTCTCCTAATTCTCCTCGTCGCTGTCGTATGCTCCATTAACGGCGAGGAGTTAGGTTTCTTAAATTTCTGTCCACTACCTGCACTCGAAGCAAAATATAATTTTACATTATATAAATACTTTTTATAAAATGGCAACATTTATTCATTTAATATAGTTTGGAATTAACATACATATCACTCAAATCTTATATATTTGCACATCTACCCGTAAACTTTAATTTTACTTATGTGTGGAGTATAATATTCCTCCGCATATATATACAGTGTTGTTTGAAAAACATAATTTTTTTTTGAAAAACACAATTTTGAATCTGTTTCATGTAAAATAAATTCAATGATAGTTTATCAAATTATTTTCACTCATAATACCGTAAGAAAATTTAAGACAAACATTAATCGAATTTCTGCTCTCAAAACAATCATACAAATATAAGCTCAGCATAATATATTCAACTTAAGCTGTAGCGCAACCAAACGTATGAGTTTGTTTACCAAAAAAAAACCTAAGGTAGGACAACTAATCATCCAAAATAAACCAACATCATCAAAACAAAGACAATGTTAATAACAATAACATAAATGCTATGATTACAAAATCACACAATAGCAAGGTCTTTACAAGAAATTTCAAGTCTTTGAGTTCATTTTTCACCGTTTCATCATATGCATTTATCTTTTCATCACCTGGCTTCATTATTTCATTGCTCCATTCATCCATCCATTGGAAAAATGTGTAATGTCTATTCGTTAAATTTTTTGGACACCAGTAAAATTTTCGCCCAGCATTTTCACTTTTCTGAGTCGTGAAAGGAATGCACAACAAGTTGCAATCACAAAATACTAGTCGAAATTTGGCCGCCATTGAGCTTGTCGAAAAGCTTGAGCTCATTTTTGATAGTATAATTATGTACATTAATGATTAGCACATATATAACGAGAGAAAATAAATGAATAGGTAAAAAAAAATTAGCAAAATACAATATGAGAACCTGAACGAGAATTGACATGCATACCATAGCTTCTATGTAGTTATATGTGTACCGATGAATCCCTTTGCATACATATAATGTAAAAGAAAAAGGGGATGCAGTATTTGCACACAAAAAAACACAGCGTTTACATTGTGATGACTTAATTTTTTATATTTACACCACTTATATCTTTCCTATTACCTTAAAAATGCTACTATTTTAACATTAAAAAAAAAGAAAAATACACATTGTTATACATAGGCAAGGGAGCGTGTATGTAAAAAATTAAAATAAAATGTTAGATACGTAAATACATCAAAATTTTGTGACATATATGTAAACCTTCCAAATGAAAATAGCACTCATATTTGGCTTGAGTAGCTTTTATTTGTAATACTCATTACAAGATGGCAGACACTCCAACCCTCCTTCACTCATGTTGCTTGAGATGACAACATGATAAAACTGCTTTCTCTGCATCAAATGCTGTGGAGGCTCATGGATCATTGATTATAGAGCAAGGAATCAAATGACAAATCACTCATACATATCATCTTCCAATAAATGTGTTGTTGATGAAAGATTATTGTTGATGATGGAACTGTCATTGTTTTAACTAGAAGTGGTTGAATTCAAGTTTCTCACAAACCCTGCATAATATTCATGTCCAGATTTAACACGTAACTTTTATCCATTAATAAATTGACACTCGATAAAATTTTATACTAATTTTAATTCTTCTTTTTATGAGTTTTGAACACTAACCTCAGAGAAGATGATTAATAATGCAAATTAATACAAAACAAGTAAGAAATCTCACCAAATCAATGATTAAGGCTCATTATCATAAAATTTAAGTATAATTTTTCTTTGCATTTGTATTTTTTTTTAAGGTCACGTGATTTTAAAGAGATAACCTTTTGAATGTAAAGCCATGTTTTAGAATGATGTGAATAAACCCAAATTAAGACTTCAAACGAAACAATAAAATACTTAATATCAAATTGGAGAGTTGTTATTAGTTTCAAAATAGGAAAAGATTATGAGGTGTTTACCATTATAGCTCTTGAAAAAAAATTTATATAAGGATTTTTATTAAATTTGCTTATGTTTTTCTCATTCTACACAACATACCATGTATTATTTATACCAAATTACTTCAATGCAAAAATAATTTCAATATCTTACAAAAAATTTATGTTTACAAAAACAAAGTGTGCTACAACTTTTGAATTGATATGTAAATCAACTATAGTTAAGATTTATGAAGCCTACCATATCTTTTTAATAATGTCTCAAATTTTATGCATCCCAACCAACATTTAAAAACTTAAAACATCCTTAGTCTTAGTAAGAGTCCGATTTATATCCCCAACAAAGCATGGCTTATGTTGGCCACATGGTATGATAAGTTCACCAATGAGATTTATAAATTTTTGAACAAGCATCCAATTGAAACCTAAAATCCTCAACATAATCTGCTAATATCACAAACTAAAGATATAGAGCAAATTATAGTTTTTCACTAAAATAAATCAATCATCCACTGTCATAAGAATTTAGAAAGAAACCTTCATTAAAACCTAAAACTAGCCGCTACTTTCCTTGATCTTCCATCAATCATAAACTATTCATCGCCAGTCTAACAACCCAAAAAAAAGTTTTAAATGTTTCTCCATCATTAAAAAGCACCAAGGACATTTTTTTTTCTTTCACAATGGAAAACTTGTTAAGTTCATAGCCCTTGTTACGAATCTACTTTTACCTATGAAAATCATGAAATAATGTTATGAGTGTAAAGATTTGGTCACTGTCATATTCAACATTTAAAAAAGTTATAACCAGATTTATTCAACAACTAAAAATTTTAAAGTGTTAAATATATTAAAATAAAAAGAAATGCATCATTTTAGATCCTCCAAAATCTTACAAACCAATGAAACCATTTTACTTAATTCATATTAAAGTGTGAGTTCCCTTAAGGGAGTTAACCTTAAGGAAATTGCTTATCAATGTTATATAATGATACTCAATAATATGAGGCAGCCAAAAAAAAAATAAAAAGTAAATTTTGTTTTTTTTTATGAAGTAGCAGGAGCTTAACATTTTATCATTCACACCCCAAAATATTTATATGATAACATCATCCTTAGTGCAACCCATCTTATTTGTTATATTCCATTACAAAATTTGAATTTTCAAAATCTCTACATATATTTCAAAAATATTTTTCTTACCTTAAGAGCTTATGCAAACTTCCCATTTAGATTATTTTGGCACAATATATTTGTTCATAATCATGATAAAAATCATTAAAAGTTGGATCCTTTAACTCCAAAATATACTCTTTGGAGTATGTTTCAACCCAAAAAGAATATAAATAGTTCTGAACTTGTACAAAAAAAAGTATTTGTTGCAATGGATGTCTCTCTTATTGAAACAAAACATTACTTTGGATCTCAACTTCATTGCCAGAGAAAATTTGAAGGCTCATATTTCAAGGAACTTTCTCTTAAACAAACGTGATATTATATTTTTTTTTATAATTAATATATTCGTAGAAAATAAGAATTTTTGTTAAGAAATAATAGTTTGAATATTGAAAGCTTCCCTAATTTTTTATAAACTTCATACAAAATTAAGGTTATGCAAAATGAAGAGCCGATGCAAACGAAAACAATATCCTTGAATTGGCATACTCAAGAAAATCATCATCTAATGAAAAATAGATTAACATTCTCTACAATACTAGAGCTCCAACCTAAAGCAATGGCTTGTGAAGAATGTTTTATTTGAATCTAAATTCTTAATTGGAACCTTATAAACTTAATAAACCCATTACATCTTGTGCTATAGAAATTTTTTTCTCTCTTTTAATACTTTTTTTACATCACTTAACCTTCTCTTTTATAAGCACCTAAGAGGAAGGAAAAAGAAAATTTGAAAAAATTGAGAGCCTTTCTGGTTAATGGGATGGTTTTGGGAATGGAGGATTTGCTTAAAGTGAATGCTACCATTCTTGCAAGTTGGTCCTTAAAGTATATTTTAAAAAAGATGGACAAATAGGAAAGCAAAAAAATTGAGCTACCTCAAATATTTACTAACAAACAACAAAGCCTTAATCCCACTACGTGGGGTCGGCTACATGAATCCTTTTTCTACATTGCGTCCTATTTAGTGCCATATTTTCATTAAGTTCTAGTAAATTCAGATCATTTTTAATACAATAAGCCCAAGTCTTCCTAGGTCTACCTCTGCCTTTCTTAACACAAGTCGAATCTGAAACATCTACTCTCCTAATCGGATCATCAGATGGTGGTCTACGTTTAATATGACCAAACCATCTAAGATGACTTTCTCTAATTTTGTCTGTCACAGGAGCTACACCAACCCTATCACGAATATATTCATTCCGCATTTTGTCTCTAAGTGTCAACTCATCCACCTAATCATTCTCGCTCGTCTCGGCAACACTAAACTTATTATTATGCTTCTCTTTTAAAGGCCAACATTCAGCGCCATAGAGCATTGCAGGAAATTATAACTCCCCAATTAATGCCAAAAGAAAAGCTTAGCAAGGATAATTGAAGAGAATTGTTGACTTCAATCAATAGTAAAAGCTAGTGGAAAATTTCATTTATTTATCACACACAAAGTTCAACATAGCCTTTATTGTAAACATATTAAGCAAATTTATATACTCACAACAAAATGAACATCTAAAGTCCAGACTATCTTAAGGAATTTAAAAAAAATAGCCTTAAAAAGAGACTATTTTCAAGAAAAAAAAAAACTTATCAAAATATTGATGCCTAATGTTCTACTTATAGAAAATCCATAACAAACTATTCTATGTATAAAGCAAACTTTCACATTAAGCTAAAATAAAAGGTAAAACTCAAAATAGAAGTAAAATTGAATATAAGATGATGAATGGATGATAATTAATAGAGTTTACTATTCCATCTACAATGTATTTTGATCGAACAATAAAAAATAGAGTCTCCCATGAAATACGAGAATTACTTTATGTATATATAAAGCACACTCATAATATGGAGCAAAAATAAAATGATATAACTCAAAATAGAAGCAAAATTGAAAATAAGATGAGCAATGAATAATAGGGTGAACTATTTGGATTTTGATTGAACGATTAAAAAAATAAACTCTCCCATGAAATTATATTATGATGACACAATAGTGAGAAAAATAACCAACAATTCTATCCAAAACAATACAATTAGGCAATGTTAAGTCTAATTTTCCTCTAAATTATCACTATTGCTTACTTTTTAAAAAAATATATATATTTGTTCATGCAAAACTTTGTGAAATCAGTGCTATAAATATAAATATAAAAATTTAGGGTTAGATATGTAAATACATAAAGAATTATATGTATGCATTTAAATTATTCTAAAAATTATAACCACCTCCACATGTAAAATCTATAAAAAAAAAAGGTGCATTTCAAATGACATATAAGTTAAAAAAAGAAAAAAGGCATCAGTTTAATTAAAAGAGGATGGAGAGCTTCCACAACAAATAATAATGAAGCTCTCCCAATCCCTCTCTAATTCTCAACAAACAATACGAATAGAAGCAATTCCCTTTCAACTTAATAAATAATATATATATATCCCAATAAAGTATCAAACTCTAGTTCTAGAGCTTCCAAGAGTAAGCTCCAACTCATCAGCTCCACACTCCTCATGAATGGTCTCCCCTTCCCATGGCTTCACCATCATATAATTCCCATTTCCACCACTTCCACAGCTCCCAAATGCAAACTCTTCAGTTGCAATGGCGACATCCATCATCGGCACATCCGTCCCCACATTCACCGGCGAGCACATCCCGCTCTGCCCCGGCGTCCACATCCTCGACGACCCGCCGCTACCAACTCCCTCCCTATAATATCAGCAATAATCCAATCATGACCCGAAAATTTGATTAGATTTCTATTGATTTTCAATCTTCTAAGTTCAAATACAAACTTTTATGCATTTATATATCTAACAACTAAACTTTACCTTTTTACATTCATATCATACCACCTACATTTTTCATATAACATCAAAAATACCAACATTTTAACAGTTAAAAAGTGATATGCATATTTTCATGGACAGGTGAGGTCGCATGTATGTAAAATTTAAGTTTAGGAGTTAGAAATATAAATTCAGAGGAATTGAGTTGTATGTACGTAAATTTTCGCAAATTTTTAATGGAATGTAAAATTTAAGTTTAGGAGTTAGAAATATAAATACAGAGGAATTGAGTTGTATTTATGTAAATTTTGGCAAATTTTTAATGGGAAATTCACACACATAGCGCACAATTCTTATGTATTTATTTACATATCTCACTCCTATGCTTTCATATTTATATGCATGACACTTTGTTGCTTTAAACTCACGTATCAAAATGTATATTTCATTTTTAAAAAGTGATAATAGAGTCATTTTTTTAATGTGATATTAAAGATACGAGTGTAATGTTTAAATATTAAAAATTTGAGTGTGAGATATGTAAATATGTATATAGGAATTGAGAGGTATGTGCGTAATTTTTTTCAAATTTTTAATTAAACAAACAACATGCATGCATGTATAAACCTTTTTTATAAAGGTTAGACTCAATTCAGACTTGATGCAAAAGTTTTCGAGCGATCGAGATAGGTTCAACAAAGTACCTGTAAAGACCAAACGGTGTCGGGAACACAAGGCTGAAGGTGGGGGACGGCGGCCACGAAGGCTGGAAGTTGGTTGCGGGGTCGTCCCAATCGGTCTTGATGCGTGGAGTACGAGCGGTGGGGGAGCTGAGGGGAGGGGTGACGGGAGCGCTGAGGGAGCCATGGTGGATGAAGAGGTTGTGGAGGCTGGGAGATTTGGAGGAGCAGGGGGAGGAGGTGGTGGAGGTGGAGGAGAGGTTCTTCAGCCATGGAATGAGGGAATTGGGGTCGGCGGTGACCATGGGGAAGTTAGGGGGGGAGAGAAAGGGGGAGGAAGCTGGGCTGGGGAAGGAGGAAGAGGTAGGGCTTGGCTGGTAAGATGAGCATTGGCTAGCTCTAGTAATTTCCAAGAGCTCTGCTGGTTTGCAGCCCTGCATGGAAAAATATATCAGTTAAGTGTGACTGAATTGAAGGATTAATTAGGCAGAGAATGTTGAGTTATATATATGATAATTATTCTAAATAATTAGAAGGCTGTTAAGGAAGGTTTATCAAATAGGGATGTAAACGAGTCGAGTTCGTCTTAACCTCAGCTTAAACTTGATTAATTAATTGACTTGTAGCTCTAGCTGGAGCTTTATTTTGTGAATTTGAGCTGATTTGTTTATTATGACAGAGAGAAAATAATAGTAATTCAAATTGGTGCTATAATAAAATAATAAATAGAATAACTAAATAGAAGGTAAATAATAAATATGCAAAAATCAATAATTTCACTATATTAAAAAAAGAAGAATCTTCTTAGATTCCAGACAGAGAGACCAAAAGACATGAAAAACAACAAAATATAAGAGTGATGATAAAATAGAACGTCAACTTGGCAGCAATGTAAGAAAAAAATTGCACAACAGCTGGAAAAAATAAAAATAAAAATTCCTGGTGGAAGAAATATTCAACTTGCAGGGGAGACAAAACTTAATAAAAACGAAGCATGATTAGTCAAAACAACTGAGTCTTTGATTTTTATAAAACCAAAAAAAAAATTGCTTTCTCGAAGGAAACCGCAAGGAAAAACAGAAAGGATGGAACTCATCAATCCAAAGGAAGGACACAAAGCACACCAATTCCTATGTATTTACATACCTAACCACCCAATTCTTTGATATCACATAACAAATGCGACAATTCTTGCTTTTCAAATGTGATATGCATATTTAGATGCATAGTTAAGGTGGCATACATATGTAAAAATTGAAATTCAGGATTCATCCAATTTTTATTTAGAATAAATCATGCAAATATGATCGTTTACCTAATTAAAATTTTATTTATTCGTAATTTATGATTATGGATGGTAAAAAATATAAAAGTAGTTTTATTCTCCTAAATGAGTGGTGGTGAAATTCTAGACTATTTTAAAAACTGGTAGATGTTACCATTACTATTTAAAAAATGAAATTCACGTATTACTACTATTATTTAAAATTTGGCATATAATTTTATAAATTCAAGTAATGATCATTGAAATTTTTTGTCAGTATTTGTGATTTAAACCAAAGACAAGTAAATTGTGCCACTTAGATGTTACCATTACTATTTAAAAAATGAAATTCATGTATTACTACTGTTATTTAAAAATTGGCATATAACTTTATAAATTCAAGTAATGATCATTGAAAATTTTTGTCAGTATTTGTGATTTAAACCAAAAACAAGTATATTGTGCCACGTGTGCGAATGCAAATACCCAAAATAAACTAAATCAACCCAAATTTCTTCCCTCATTGTCATCCCCCACCCTGACCCCCTTATCCTCTAGCTATTTTGACCGTGTTACCGCGACGACAAATGGCAACCAATGACATTCGATAGGTGAAGATTTTCTCTCATCATTTTCATTCTGCTTAATCTCTAGATCTCTATACTCGAGCATTAATTTAAAGAACAAATTATTATAGAATATGAAGATGGATAATTGGGGGTAAATGAATGAAATAACCTTACTCAATAATCAATATTATCTCATCAGTGGCAAGACCAGAACTTAAACAGAGGGGTGGCGAAATAAGAAATTAAGAGATGACGAGTATTCAATTTAAAGACTTTCTTCGCCTTAATTTTTTAAAATTATAATTAAATTAAAATTTTAATTAATATTAAATCATTATTAAGTATTTAATTCAAGGGAGACAACATGTCAAGTGTATTATATGATATTAAAGAGTATAATAAAAACTCAAAATTTGAGGAGTGCCTCCCGCAACTCTCCTAATTCCGGCATTGCATCTCATAATCATATTTATAAAATTGCTAGTTATAGGAGGGGGAATAAGCCATCATGCTGCTAAGTCAACATCCTCATAAAGCAATGTGATGCTACTTCCATTCATAAAAGAAATAAACACTTCCTTGAGGTAAAATATAGGTGGCATTGTTTTTTGCATTTCAATAAAATTCACAGCTCTCAAGTTATTTGTTGATATTGCAAGTTTCATTGAGCTTCTTAAGCTAAAGATTCTCTCACATGTTATCTTAATGTTTTTATAAGATTATCTGAACCATTACTTTAGATATATTTGCCTGTAAGTCAATGAGAAAATTATTAATGAATGAATAAAAGTATGTCCTTCCTTGAATGTCATAACATGTGTGAATCATAATGTTATTACAATTAATAGAAGGACACTTTTATTGGATTTATTTATGTTAGTATTAATATGGGGGTTCTTTGAATGAAGCTATCAATCTCAGCACATACTAATTATTGTATTTTCATTTTTGTGTATGAATAAAAAAATAGTCTATGTGAATAGCTCATTTTATTATTTCACCTACATTCGGTCGAAAGCTATGAAGCACAGACACGGACAAGGAGATGTGCACGGTACAATTGAAGAAAATATGAGACAACATATCATGGACACATTTTAATATTTAATTAATTATTAATATTCAAAAAAATTCCTTTATAATTTATAAAACACATCAAAATAAGATATGCAAGAATAAAGTTTAATTTGTATTATGAAACGTCATGCTCATAAATACTAACTTTAGAATTAGACATATATATGTTATATGTTTCAAAAAAATTTCTCCAACTTATCTACTAACATTAAAAATATCCTGAGATTACATGTTGTTTAGTTAATTAAATTAAATTTAACTTTTAGAATTAGAATAAGTATAAAACTATAACTATCAAAAGAAAAAATATAAATTATCACTTACAAAACTATGACGGCTTTGACTACTTGGCTTCGACAAATAGAAGTTTTAGTGCAAGCTTCCCAAAGTTCATAGGGCATTTGGATCAGCCTCAATGAACATGTTTGACTCATGCTAAGGTTGAGACAATAAAGCTAATGGCTTTAAAGCGTGCATGTTCAGCTTCAATGAATAAAAAAGAGCTACAATATTTGACTTCAACAAATGCAGAATGGGCCTTTGATGCTCAATTTCGACAAACAAAGAGAGAACTCCAAATGCTCGACTTCAACGAATATTATGTGCATCTTCAATGCTCGATTTTGACAAATGTTAGAGGAAGCATTGACATAACGAGAGAGAAGGCGGCTTCGGCTATAAAGTATAATCATGGTTGTACATATAGTTATAATTTTCTACTCCCCCAGTGCCATATAAGCAAGGAGGAGCAGTGGATGGGAGACTCAGGGTTAGAGAAAACGCAAAGGTTTGAAAGATCTATGTCCTCCACCTTATTAATCACATGGTAGCCGCCATCCAATCACCATTGCAGCCAAACCAACTCATTGTTGCCTTATCAATACCATCTTATCACTAACATCTAACCACTGATCTTGAACTATCATCACCCATTTTTTGCCTAATTATAATTACATGTCTTATGTTGTTTCAACTTTGGTCATTCAAGTACAACCAACAAACTTTCATCGCTCGATACAATCATTGAACTACAGTCACCTATTTATGGTCTCCTAACCTTCATCACCCAAATACATAATCTCTACCATTAGACTATGATCCCTCAAGTTATGTTGCTTGACTACAGTTGCCCAACCTCCAATGCCCAACTATAGTTTCTTGATCACAATCGCCCATCTACAACAACTTAATCTTTATCCCTAAAATCCTTTCATTTGAATAAAGTTATATGGTCATCAATGCTTGGTTATAATCAATTGACAATAATCACCTTTTCATGCCTTCTCGCCCCCTGTCGTTAGACTATAGTTCCTTGAAATTTATCGCACAACTACAATTGATCTGATCTCTGTCACACAACTATAATTGTTCAACTACAGTCATTTGTCTACACTTGACCTCTATCACCAGGCCACATGCTCCAACTTCTAGCACTCGCCTACCGCTTCCCAACCTTCGATGCACATCTACTATCGTCCATTAACAATTGCTTGATTTTTGTCAACAAACTATGGCCTCCCAATTTCTATCACCTAACTCCAACTTCCATCCCTTCGACGCCTAGCTACAATTGGTCGATTCTAGTTGCCCATCTAAAACTGCTTAGCTTCCTCACTTGGTCTCTCAATATGATTTCTCAACCTCAGACATTCGACTACAATCTCTTGATCACCGTCACTAAATTATGATCATTCGATCAATGTCATTTGATTGTCTTGTTGTTCATCAACACCAATTCTAACGCTTGACATCATCGCTAGCTATCATCTTTAAGGTTGATGCATGCTATGTAAATCAACATTTATCAAACCAATGCACAAAATTGACATACATTATTGCCTTTAGCTTATGTGCATCAATGATGTATGGCATCACTCGTCAAGATCATGTCCGTCATCAACATCAATACTGACGTACTTTGTTACCCATCAATGCCAACAAAATCGATGCACACAATCACTAATATGATGAAAATATATCATCCACACCAATATAATACTAAATTTCTTGATTGATTATAGTTAATTAATAAAATAAGACTGATAATATTACTATGTTTGATATATAACACACATGATTGAATGAAAATAGAATTACTAATAATATTGATTCAATATAAATTGATCTTAATTGTAATAACAAAACAATAACAAGTACAAAACTCTAACTTTGTATGAAGAGTAATTGATGTATCATATAAGAATAAATAATAAATTATAAAAAAAAATGATATACCAATAAATATATATAATTCAAATAAAAATTAATTAAAATCCCTAATTTATATTATGAAATATACTTTTTGTAATGAATTAAGATATATGTTTTTCTATATCATAATTGGTCATCACGCGTCGATGGTCTGATGGTCGGACATTTCTACCCACTAAAAGATCTCACACTCAAAACTCACCCATAAAAATAAAGATAAAAAAAGTCTTCTGTCCCAAACAACATGGAGAATAATCTACAGCAATTTCAAGCGCTGAAAAGGAAGCGATTATAGGTTCCTCCACAGTTTAACCTTACACCAATTCATGAGTAAGTGATCGGCTAAGAAAATCTATCGCCCCCGCCACAGCCGGCACGCCAAATAGGAAATTAAATATTGATTAAATTAAAAATCTTAATCAAGCTTTTATAATCCGTTTTCGGTTTAGGTCCAATATGAAACTTTAAGATTGGGAAATTTTGACTATTTTGATGATTAGCTTGATTGCTATTTTTGTCTTTTTTTATTAATTTAAAAGTTAAAATGCTACATAAATAAAATATAAAAAAAATTAAATGATAGATATGAAAATAATAATATTATATCAAAAAATCTTCTTTCTAATTTTTATGTTTTTACATAATTGTTTTTTAAAAATTAAAAAAAAAGTTTTTTTGGTTGTTTTATTTATGTTTTTGACCGAATTTTTAAAATAAATTTGAATTTACATAATTTATTTTGAGAGTTTTGTTTTTCAACCAAGATGTAAAATCCTTTTAGGATAAAGAGTCTCGTATAGGTCGTGCATCCATACAATTCGGGAAAAATTTTATGAGGTGAGAATGAGTGGAGGATTTCGTTCGACGAATTTGTAGGTGTAGCGCAGTAAATGCAGATAAACTCAATGGAGGAACTCGATAAGTATCGTCGGAGGAGGAGCTCGCATGAATACTAACGAGCTTAGTGAAAAAGCTCACATTTCTATAAGCACTTCCTACAGCTATCACTTCGAGGAAAATTATTCTATCAGGACCCCTAACGTAGAGATGCGTTCCGAGTCCATTGATATGCGAACATGTTACTTATAGGACCCACACTCAAATCTCCAGAAAATAAAAAAAGAAAACGCGTGCGCTTTCCTGTGATCCGGTCAGATAACACTAAATATTTCGCGTGCGCTTTCCTGTGATCCGGTCAGATAACACTGGGAAATATTCCTCTCGTGTTATTCCGCGTTATTCAGGTGTTATTGTGGTGGTTTTGATGTATTATTGTGTTATTATAACACCGAGAATATTCGCAGAACACAATAACACATGAATATCACTACAACAACACTTGAATAACGCAAAATAACACGGGGAATATTCTCTGTGCTAAAACAATTTTTTTTTAATTTTTCTCTCCTCCACTTCTTGATTTCATTGGATTCTGAACGTAATTCTACGCCTAGAATATTCCCTCCACTTCTTGATTTCATTGGATTCTGAACGTAACTTTACGCCTAGAATATTCATTAATTGGATGGCTATGATTGTCGAGTATAATCTGTTTAGGCATGATCATTGGGTTCTATCCGTTAAACCCAGAAATTCCATCCAGTATTTAGACTTCCCTGATTGGTCAGAAAATCAACAAATTCACTTTCAGACAAAACTTGCAGTTTAAAATAGCGGACCAACACTAGGGCGAAAAAACCCGACCGAGGCATCCCTCCCTAGAATATCGGCTACAATCCGCCGCCGGAGATCGCCAATCCGAAATCTTTGGCGAGCAACCCCCCTTCCGACCATCGGAACAGAGCATCTCCAGAACACATTTCCCAATCGATAAATCAAAGAGAAAACTAAAATTGAACGAAACAATAAACTGCGCACCTTGCGATAAGTGGTTCCATCGGCCTCGACGGTCCATCCGGCCTCATTGCAGAGGGCTTTTAGCACCTCGTTGTTATCGCAGTGCTTCGGGAGCTTATAGTTACCGTACGTCCTGAGGCCGGAGTAGATCTTGGCGGCGATCGCTCTTCTCCGGCGCTCCCTCCGCTTGTTGTTCTCTCTCTCCTTCCATGTCGGAAGCCTCGTCGCCGAAGTCATCGCCTCACTCGAAACCCTAATTGAAACCCGGCTCCCCTCGTAAAGCTTCAATCAATCGTAAATGTTTAGCGAAAATAGCGTGGAGTGCCTCATCTCTGCTCAAATCTGGCAGAAAAAACCCTAAGAGCTGCGGCTGGAGAGCAGCGAGTTGGCCGGAGCTGAGGAAGATGGCGTTATATACACCGGGGGAGTGAAAAAGCCCAAAATTTTAAAGCGAATTACGAGAATGCCACTTTAAATAGGACGTGAAGTAAGGGTAAAAAGGTAAAACACATAAACCACGTGATGCTGACTTAATGGATATACTATGTTAAAAGCCTGGATCGTATTATCTCGTGTGTTCGGGCCCATCATACATGTAATCATATAATCATAATTAAAGTACACATCTTAAGAATAAGATGGACGGTGGAAAATATTTACTTTAAGAATACAATAAAATTCTTATGTATTCACATATTAAACCTCCAAAACTTTCATATTTACATGCATGGACTCCAATTTATAATGTCATATAAAAAATATCACTTTCATCTATTTTTAAAATTGTAAGTACATATTTTAATACATAAATTTATCACACCAAAATATTATAAATATAAAAATAAAAAATTTAGTTATTATATATGTAAATACCTAAAATTTATGGGAAAGGTTTATAAATTTCCCTTTCATTTTTTTTAAATTTTCATAGCAAGGCTTTTGATGGGTTTGTATGAATATGTTGAACTTTATAGATACTTAGAAGATTTACATAAATATCATTCAATTCTTTTGTATTTAGGTATTTATTTTTTAAACCTCAAATTATATAAAGCATTGCTATGTTATCTTTTCATGATTGTGGAGTGCATCACTACAATACAATCATCTTCTTACATAATACTTAGATATTGTTGATGACACACTTAGATTTAATGAAACTTAACTTTAGTAGCCAATTGTCGAATGCTCCTTGATTGGTTTAGCTATCATCTTAAAATTTCAAATTTTAACTTAAAATGCGTACGCATGCAACACATGGCGTAAGAGCATGGTAGTATGATCAAAATACGATAAACCAGCTCC